TTCCAGCAAGAACAGGAGATTGATGCAGATATTTTCTGTGGCAGGCTACCACAGAAAAAGACATAAAACCACAGTGAAAGAGAAAGATGTGTCAGTGCTCTGGTAGGTACTATACTCTACACCAATGTGGTATGGGGTCTTTTACCATTAGTCTGTGCTCCTGTAATCTTAACCTGTTAATGAACTCAGCAAGAACATACAAACTTTGCAGAAAGGCCAATATTATTATACTGTAAGTTTAATTAGCAAGATCAAAAAACAAACACAAATCTATTTAGCTTATTTGTTTCTCACACTCTTCATGAGTGCTGTTGTTCACATTTACTTTAAGGCTGTCTGAGAACAAAAACAGCTGATCATCAAAAGAAGTGAATTTCATTTGGCAAAGGCAACATCAAATGTCTAAGTTGGAGTTACACTGGTTCCTTTTTTGTTTTATGGCAAAGGCCCTGTCCACAGTCATTAACCCTCTTTATGTAGCTGAATTTTCAATTCAAATAAGGCTAGAGAAGACAGATGTTGAAGATTGTTTATTTGAGCCAACTGGTCACCATGTAAAAATAATGAAATACTACATACTAGACCACATCGCTCTCTGGTGGCAGACTTTTTCCTTTACACTGAACTAGATCGATAATCTTTCCATTTCCCCCTGTGAGCTCGATGATCTCTGGCATCGATTGAATTGGCTCTAGCTTTGACAGTTCATTGTAAGATATGGCAGGAGTCGAGTCTACACAACCTGCTCAGGTTGAGATTTCTAACACGGGCAATGTGCTATCGGAAGGATATGACAAGAAATGTATTTTCTGCAGGATCGTAAACAATGAGATGGGGACGGAGCTTATTCACTGTGTGAGAATATTGTAAAATTTGAATTAAAATGAGCGCCTGTAGCTAGCATTAGCTGTTGTAAACACCTGCGTTTAGAAAGAGCATGATAAATACTGGCTTTGTGAAGATGTAGTTTTTGTTTATCTAAGTCTACTGTGCAGTAATAACCACATTTCATTAGTGTCATAGTAGATATAGGCTAACTGGTAGTCTACTGGGGTAGCAAGCATGAACACTGTCGAAGCTGACCTATGCTGACTTCGTTTATCTCCGCAGGAGGACAAAGAGCTCGCATGTTTCAGAGACATAAAACCTGCAGCTCCCCACCATTACTTGGTCGTCCCAATCAAGCATGTTGGTAACTGCAAATCACTCAGCAACAGACATGTACCTTTGGGTAAGGTTTAAACTGCGTAGACCTCTGCATGTTTCACTTTTCAATCTTTTGACTTGTGTTAATTACTCGGCAACTGAATAATACTTTGTGTAGTTATAACACAGCATAAACAATGCTCTTTATTTCAAAAGCCTTATTTGTAATGGGAAATAATTTTATAAAGGTGACATGTCTTTATTGTCATACACAGTGAAGCGGATGGTCGAGACAGGGAAGGAGATCCTCCAGAAAAACAACGTAACAGATCTCAGTGATGTCAGGTGGGCGACATCCAGAGGTGCATTTTGCAGTTGTAGAATGCATGTGCTACAGCATACTACTTTAATGTAGTGTAAACTACTGTATATACCAAGTGAATGGTAGTTCTTAATTTAATGAAAACTGTAATAGATAGTGTTATAAACTGTCTTGTAATTGCTACTGACTAGCCAATAATTTAGCTTTTGTAGCATCTCTCTTATTTTGTGCATGTAACAACAACAGCAAAAGTAAATGAAACTTACTCCAAGTAAACATCCCTATAACCTGCCATATACTGTATTAAACCAGTGAGCCTACAGTATGTGTACTAAAGACTTCTCCCTTGTCTGCAGGTTCGGTTTTCACTGGCCCCCATTCTGTTCTGTCACACATCTACATCTTCATGTTTTGGCACCTGTCAGTCAATTGGGCTTCATGTCCCGCCTCTTCTACAGACTCAACTCCTATTGGTTTATCACAGTAAGCCCCCTTTTCTTTATTTGCCCTGTGCTCTAGTACAAAAACTGCCATTGTATACAGCTTGAGGGCCAGTAAAATAAATAAAAATTATTTTCTCTCAGCCAAGTGTTGCACCATCAGGCTGACATGTAAGCAAAATAAGTCCATTGTCATCTTTCTCTCCCTTTCCTTGTTCCTGCTCTACCCCCTGTACAAGACTTTACAACAGATTTACTGTGTAAAAGCGGGTATGATAGCAGTAACTGACTGGAGGGCAGTGCACTGCAGATTAGCAACACATGAATCTGATATTTAGTTTAGTCATTATTAGGGTGACTCCATTCTTTAGGGCATCACCATCCTTTAGTGCATCCAGATGGAGTTTTAAGGTCAAGCAGTAGTGTTGTCAGTTTATTTTTAGTTCTGTCCACATGTTTGTTTTGCAGGCAGACCAGCTGATTGAGCTTCTCAACTCTAAAGGAGAGACCAGCTGATCACAAGGATCGAGCTCTTGCAGCGTTTGACTGTGATGAAGAGATATAACCATCCACCTTTTTGCATCCATTTTCATGCTGGGTGGTATACACTCGCATGAAGTTGGTGTGTGTTTGGCCCATAATACCAATATGTTCAACCAGTGACATATTTAAAACTGGAAGAAAAATAAAGCCAAATCTTGAGTCTTGCTGCTTGAGAAATGCTGCACAATTTATCCACTATTAACAACTGAGTATCCCTCACTCAAAGTACAGTTCAGTACACTTGAATTGATCTCAACAAGCACTGAAATGCAATGAGTTATTTGCTTATTTTGTATCTGTTTTGATGTGATGTCTCTGTGTTAACATATATACAGTAATATAACCAAGAACTATTAATGGAATGTAAAGAAAATGAGATATATCTACTGTACAAATGTGTATGCATTTTCAGAAATGTTCTCTGTGATTTTCTGAGCTGTCTTGATTTATATGTTTGAGTGAAAGGTTCACATAACAACTACAGTCAAACATTAATGAAAGCTACACTGTCTTTTCTTTCTTTATTATAATACCTGAAGCAGTACTTTCTAATTTATCTGTCCACTACTGCTGCTGAAAAGGCCATTACTGTACTCAACTGCAGCAGTGGATATTATGGCGTCTATCAGTCAGTGCATAGACCTTGACTATATAGTTCTCACTCAGCATTTTAGTTCATTGTACATCTATTTTGGTGTGGTTCAGGTATACAGTTGTAACAAGTTTTCTATAATTACAGAGCATTATAGTAAATACATGCCATATTGTCTGTCACAGGCAGCCTCATGTTCTCAATGACCTTTTGACTCACACTTGTAGTTTAGGTACAAATTCTCTGGTCTTTTTGGTCATTTCTCTAATTTTGCTGAAAAATGCTGCTAACTGGTATTTCACCTAGTATGATCCAAATTCCTGTAAGCATTTGTAATTGTGATTAAATTATATGAGTATTTTTATTATCTACCTCTTGCGTGTATTTGAACTCTGGATAGTGGATTCAGTAATCACTGAGGTTTTAGTTTTTAGTGTAAGCAAAAAAAAAACAAAAGCTTTTATTTTTTACAAATGCAAATACATGACAAGTATAATTAGTACAATCCTCAAACTATTTATTTATTACAGTCAGTGATACCTTGAAGTAGCCCTGTACCTACCACTGTAGATGTAACATGAGTTTCTGGTCACTGCATCAGAGTGATAACCACTTGGTCATCCTTTCCCTGCCACAACATCTCCCCCTCAAAGTCAACCAGCCTCTGCTTTCTCGCTCGTAGAAGAATCCCCACCAGCTTATTAGAGATAGTCACATAATGTTCAAACAGTTTCCCAAATTCTACAGTGATCACTTTCCATTTGCTGTTGCTTCCACCTTTATCTCTTCGCTCTCCAATCATCCTTATCACCTCACACAGCTCCTGAACCTCTCTGCTGATATGTGTGCAAGCATCCTTCCCGCGCTGCTCTGTCATGGAGCCCTGCAGGGGCCTACCATAGTCATCCTGGCCCCTCTGAGGGACCACCACACTGGGCCTGGTGTCTTGAGTGAAGGGGTTGTGCTTCTGATATTCCTGATGCTCATCAGACCACTTCTGCCAGCTTTCCTTCAAGCCTTTCACAGAAATGCACACTGCAGTGTCCTCACTCAGCTGAGTAGGAGGTAGGACATTGTCTTCAGTTTGCATGATGGTGGTGCTCCGGCTGTTTGTGCCCAACCTCTGGCCCTGCTTAGGATAGGATTACATAGCTATAATTGGTCAGTTTTACAAACAAGAATACACTGTTGTACTTACTGAATAATTGCCCTGTATTGTTGTTATTGTCACATAATTTAAAATCAAATACCCAAAATCATATAAACAATTTCTCTTACCTAATTACTGTGGTCCTGTTGTGTATTTGATGTGTTGTTGTGCTGCAGCTGTATGAGATCTGTTATAAATCAATAGAACTGAAGACTTAGAGTCCAATGATGATTACCAATGGTAACCTGCAACATGGGCAACAAATTCACATTACAATTCAGAAAAAAATAAGGAAAATAA